GCACTGGAACCAACGGACACCCTGAATCAGTATCGGTTGAAGACATTCCGTCGTTTCACCAGAAATTTAAGATATCATCTTCCAGAAAGTGGCGTTGTCAATCTTATATGCCATGACGGACGCTATCCTTTGCCGTCCCCTGAATTACTTCAGCTTCACTGTTCCGTAGCTAATATACTCAATGCCACGGGGAGGGGCGAGAAGATTGACAGAATTCTGCGAGACTATGGTGCCACTGGCGCACTCGCCCGTGATGGAAGCACTAATATCTCGGAGCTCTTGTCTGTTAGTAAACTCGCGTTGTTGCCCACGGTCGATGAGCGCGGCATGAACTAGAATCCTAGAATAGCAATGTTCAGTGATACGCGCAAGAGTCCTACTTTAAGGACAGAGACCGGTGAATCAAAAGAGAATAGACCAGAGTGCTAGTTGCTGGCACAGGCGGTTTAACAGCGAAGATACTCAAATACCTCCAGTCTGAATATGGGGAGCGACTGTATCTGCAGTACACAGAAAACGAGGCTAAACAAAAGGAGCATGTTTGACCCAATAGTCACGCAAGCCGTCGTTCTCAATCCGCCTCCATTCTCCAATATTCCGGTCTTCTTCCGCCTTGTCCATCTCATTTGGTTTGTTGCCAAGTCCCAGATTGTACGGTCGGTACCCCGGGTCAGCTCGCAGCCGTCGAATGACACTGCCGTGAATTTTGGCGTCTTTGGGAAGCGGCCTTCGCGAACCTCTTGCATGCCATCGAGTCATGCAGACAGAGCCATCCGGCGTGATTTTTGGTCGTTTGAAGGGGATCCACTCCAGAAGTCTCCAGAAGAAAGTCTCAGTTGGTCTCCCACTATCATAGTCGAGGGAATCGTGGATCTGCGCGCGCTCAGCCTGGCGTACGATGTCCTGACCGTTTTCACTTGTTGCTGGATCTTGGCAGCCGAGCACCTCAAGCTTGTTGCTTTCGAATGTAAGCCCGGCCTTGATGGCTTCCTGGACCATCCATGTCAGAGGGATCTGGCTTGCGGGCCAGGACTTGCTCGGCCAGCCTCCCCCAACGTCACCGTGGTTTCCGGCAAAGTACACCTCCTCAAAGTCGGCCTCGAGTATTGAGGATTCACCGTCATTGTCCGAGTCATAAATGTTCTCGGGTCCTTTCTTCCAGTCATTAACGCTTTGCTTCATGTCCGGTGATCCCGTGCCCAGCTTGCTCTCGAAGAGTACGGGCTGGAATTTGATCCTCCGCTCATCAATACTGACAGCGTGTCTCATAATCTTCGGGCTTGGCCGCGTGCTGCTCTCCTTGTTAAACTCGGCCACGCTGTTGACCGTATCGAACAAGCCCAAGAAGTGGACTTGGCCAACGGGTCGACACATCGTCTCTCGACTCACGCTCAGGCATCGCATTGCACCCAGACGCTCCTCTGGCTCCTCACCCTCGGAGAATTTCCACTGCGTGAACGCCTCCCAGACGAAGGGGATCAGTTCCTCGTTGTCCGCAGAGAGCAGGCCTACGTAATCGAGCATCTCGTTCAGGAATCGAGCTGTGTATGCGCCTCGAGAGAAACCAAAGAGGTAGATCTTGGCGCCTGGTACCCATCGGCGCGCCAGGAAGCGGTAGCCCCGAATAACATGCTGATCGAATGAGGTCGCAAGCGCAAGGTCAAAGGCCTTTGGAGTCCATGACTTGCCGCTGGGGCGCAGGACGGCGTGAGCGACCGAGCCGGGCGTTATATCTGATCCAATGCCAGCTGCGCCAGATTAGTGGCTGTCATTGATAGTCGGGGATATACGTACGTTGGTAGTAGCAGACTATGCTCGTTAGCACAACATCAATAATCGGGTGAATGGCAGTACATACATCGATTGTGCTTGGTCCGATCTAACATCCGAAAGATCTTGAGGATATTACTCTCACCGCCGTCTGCACGAAAAGTGTTTCCCGTGCCATCGAAACACAGGACGAGCTCTCTCGGGGGTTCGTCACACCCGCATTCGGAGTCCTTGTCCGTCATGTCGGCGACACTTGATACACAAATAATGCAAAAGGGTAGAGATTGTGGTTGGGATACCTAGAGACAAGTGGGATCTACAAATTTATAAGAATCGATACATTTGAAGCGACGGCCCCGTGAGCGACGACGCTCAGCTTATAGGTGAAGGGCCTCATTGCCCAGGATCAGCCTTGTGCATGGCCCCAGGCGGCCGCGGCGTACTATTTAGTAGGTTTGCGCCAGGGTTGGCGTACGTCAGATATGATTTGGTAGTCGAGCGGATGCCAAATGGAGCCCAAATGTCAATCTTTACTTTTCCTTCAAAAGGTGTTTGTCGATCTTTCGTGTTGATCTCGGTAGCGGCGGTGGTGCAGTTCGCGACAGTGGAAACTCCTAACATCCCTCCAATGATCAGTAGTGGTATAAAATGGTCAATGGCAGAAAAGCTGATCTATTAGCTACATGTTACTAAGAAGAAGGCAGCAGCTCGAGATGAGGAGCTGAACAGTTGTTCTTTTCAGGATTCAGCACGACCCGTAAGGTTGGACGCCCTGCGAACTGCAGATGCGTGGCGCGGATCGTCTCTCGGCGCAACAAATCACACCGCCGGATAAGCCCAGCAGGAAGCCTGTCTGTCGCCAGCTGAACAAGATGAGATTACCAATTGGTAGTGCTTAGTAGATCCATCATATGTACAGAGTGAATGCCTCGCATCCAGCCTGATACCTCAGCTGCTTACGGTGCAAACAAGCTGGTCACGGCTCACGGGATTCAGTAAGCATCCAATGCCTCCAGTTATCGGTAAGACTGCAACAAGGCAAGTCAAGGACAAACACCCTCACACACCAAAAACGGAAACTTCATCATCTCCCGCCTGCCATCCTCCCAATCCTCCACTTCCTTTTCCATCGTCCATCCAACACTCACGTTGACCTCGGCGAATCCCACCTCCCGCATCAGATCCTCCATCCATCCGCGCGGAATCCCATGCCTCTCCACCCCTTCAAGCTTATCCTTGGGATGGAACAACCTCGCCTGCGGCCCAAAGTCCTCGAAATCAGTTAGGAACACCCTCCCTCCGGACTTGAGACAGCCGCGCAGCGTGCTCAGGAACTGCCGCAGGTCGGGGACATGATGCATGACGAGGTGGGAGAGGATGAGGTCGTATTTCCGCCTGGCCCCCGTTCCGGGCCCCGTAGACTCGGTTGCGGACGCCGGGGGCAGGACTGGGTCTTCTGGGTTCGTGAGTAAGTGGCAGAGCGGCGTGATGTTCTTGGGTGCGTTTGGGTCTGAGAGCTTCGCGTTCAGGACTTCGATCATGCCTTCTGCCGGGTCGATGGCGACGATGTGCTTGATGTGCGGCGCGACACGGAGGGTGAGTAGGCCTGTTCCGCAGCCGACTTCGAGGACGTCGAGGGTTTGCTGGTCGCCATTTGATAGAGTCGTGATGAGGGGGTGGAGGGTTTCGTAGGCTAGGCGGGTGGCTTCATGTACGAAGGGGTTATCGTCCCATTTGGCGGCTTCGGCGTTGAAGCGGACGTTTGATTTTGCTGGTAGGAACATTGTTATCTTCAGAAACGAGTTGGTCGGATCTCTGATGATTGTTTGTTTGGGTCTGGTTGATCTGGAGAACCACCGGGTAGTAGATGGTGATACCCCAATGCGGGGTCAGGCAGTGGATCATTCCCGTAGTCCTCCCCTCTGGTTCATTATCATCAACCAAGTACAATCCTTAGAGAGATACTATCTTTAATTATCATTATTAGAGAGCTTCCGCAACAGACGGAGCTAGAGTGCATTGTTTGCTGTTGATCCTCAGATACTATTGTTTCGCCTTCTCATTCCACCCTCAGATACCACTCTACTCGCAACAAGATGATCTCATTATCAGCTGTTACTCTATCTCTCTCCATCCTACTGGCAGGCTACCTCAGCGCAATCTGCGTAATACCTCCTACAACAACCCAACGATCCCTCTACGAAACCGACCGCATCCGCATCATCACTGGCAACTTTGCCATCAGCGCAAGCCGCGCCCTGATCATCATTGGCGCTTACCACGCGCTCGTCACCCTCTTCTACACACCAGACACCAATAGCAACATTCTGCCCGCCATCTGTCCTCACCCCGAGAATCTCACCCCAAAGAACCTCACCTGGACTCCGGCGGTGCTTCTCTCCCTCCTGACCATCGCATCCGGCGCCGCCATCCGTCTCTCGGCGTTTGGAAGCCTAGGCCGGAATTTCACGTTTTATCTGTCAGTGCCGGATCGATTGGTTACGGACGGTGTATATGCGTATGTCCAGCACCCGAGTTATACGGCGTTAGTCGTGGTGTGTCTGGGGTGTGCTGGGCTGTCTTGGCGGTGGGACGGGGCAGTAGGAGCTTGCTTGTTGCGTAAGGATGTGATTGAGAGGCTTGATGGATTGGGAATGATGGTGATAGGGGCGTTGTGGATGGTAGGTATGATGTTGGTACGGGTGAGGGTAAGGGATGAGGAGAGGATACTGCGGGAGAAATTTGGGAGGGAGTGGGAGAGGTGGAATGCCAGGACGGCGAGGTACATTCCGGGTATTTTGTAGAGAATATCATTCGGATACTCTTTGTGCCATTGACATGTCTATCCATCATTTGTGACTGTAGATATCGGTGGAGCTGTAGCTAGATGGCACAAAACGATGACATCATGAAATTGGAGATGACTGTGACACCTCTACCACACGTATGAGTACGACATTGAACAAACTATTGTGCTGATACTCGGTTAGGAAAAGAAATTGATCGAGCTCAGCGTGCCATCCTTCTTTTTCTGCTGTTGAAAATAGACCTGTTATGTGTGTAGAGGTACAGTAGCTGTCATCGGAGTTGGTCCGGTGGAGTCTCGTGCTCCCAGCGATCACCTCCCTCAACTCTGCCACATCATCCCGCTCCTTCATCCATCTTCTCTCCTCTCCTCTCCTTGGGCCACATTTTTGGACAGAGCTTAGTAGTCAATTGAATTGCTGACAATGGGTATCTTCAGTCGCTTCCTCAAGCTAACCACCATCGGCGGCGCCGCCACGGTCGGCGGGTTCTTCTGGTACACGCGCAACGACGTCTTCGTCCCGCTGCCTTTAACCGATCGCATCTTCCACTCCGCCCGCTTCAACGCCCTCAATCCCCTTCGCAACCCTACCACCCACGATCTCTGCATCCGCAGAGTCCCCTTATCAGACATTGACCCCACCCTCCTCGAAAAGAAGGGAAAATTAGTCGAGGCCTTTTGCGCCGGAGTCTGGAGCGGCTGGGGTAGGCACCTGCACTTTAGCTAACATCCTCTCATACAAACCAGCAACACTAACAACTACAACGTCAGGCTACGCATTCCAACGCGCCTACCTCGCCCGCAAATACCAAAGCCCCGAAACCGCCAACCAGCTCTGGTCCCGCTCCGAGCTGCGCTCCTCCACCTACGAACCCGGCACCCTGATCACGGACCACTTCGAGGTCGTGGAGAAGACGCCCAGCCGGATCGTCGTGCGATGCGGGGCGTCTCCGCGTGTGCAGGAGGTCCGGCCCTCCGACGGTCTGTTTGAGATGTCTGTGGATGTGAAGCCCGACGAGGGCGTGGCGGAGTTTGGGCTCAAGAGCTGTTTCTTCCAGGGGCTGGGGAAGGCCGAGGCGCAGCCGATGCCGGCGCATATCGTTTGGTTGCATCAGCAGTATACGAAGTTGTGGATGGAGACGGCAATTCGGAATGTTTTGCGGTGATCTTCTGTCTTGTTTGTATATATGGACCGATTGGAGCGATCTATTGTATTTTATTCATGCATGAACTCAGGAATCGATGTTTCAGGGACAACCCCATTGATACCCCTGATCTCATTGGAATCAGATCGGAATCTGGCGGCGCTACAAGATCTATAGGCATGTTTTCTTTAATCACCAACTAGTGACAGTCATGTCAGACGGGAGACCGGCATGACATGACCTGTCCCAAACTTTGAGCATGTTGAAGAAGATTCTCTATGCTTCGATCAACTAGTTCAGCGGACCGGTCTATGAGGAGAAAGGACATATCTGGCAGAATGATGATAATGTTAGAGCAACTCATCCGATGAATCTGTCTTGAAATGCATCTCATTTTTGGTCCACTATGTGTATGGTAGGAATAAGGGAACAATTAAGGCCTAGTGCCTGCAGGGAGCCACAAGGTAATCAGAGGTAGGATCTGAACGAAGGAAAACGCAAGCGCAACGAAAACAGCTCTTTCTAATGTACAACAGGGTATTGTAGGAAGGTTTCGAACCTCCCATGCGAACGTATATTTCAAGAAGAAAACACCGCCAACCATCATCTGCCACCGTCTATGCCAGAGCAGCAATGAACATAACACCGATCAGACCAGAAAGACCAACCGACATTCTGTTTGCGCCGTTGCTGAGGCCAGGAGTGAAGACAACTTCAGACGGCGCGGTCAGTGTCGCCGATCCTTTTGCCGTGCCGGAAGCCCTTTCACCAGCTGTCGGCGACCAGGTAGCAATGGCAGTGACGGATGCGGCTGTAGAACTTCCAGTAGGTCTGGGAACAAGACGAGACGAAGCGAATGAACTGGCGATAGAAGAGCCACCTAAAGCAGCAGCGCTGGATGAGGCTGGCACAGGGATTGTGGAAGGCGCAGCAGATGCAGAGGCAATAGAGCCATGCTCTTCGGAGTCGCCTTGCGCAGTGTCAGAGTCATCGAAGGATCCCGTGCTGACAGCTTGGGAGACAGGTTCCGGAGGTGCTGTAGGGATTTCAGAAAGAGCGCCTGCGGTCAGCTGGGATGCGACACCCTCCGACTTGGCAACAGTAGACGTAGCAGCGGCAGAATTTGCGATGGCGTCGGCACCCGGGTGCTCACTTGTGGCAGCAGCGGGAGCAGCAGCGACGGAAGTTGCAGCGACCTCGGCGCCAGAAACCCCGTTGAAGGGAGCGTCCTTCTTGCCACCCGCGGCAGCTGCGGATGAACTTTCTGCGACAGGGCAGATAGTGGTAGTCGATGTGACGTAGACGGTGCTAGTTGATTCCAACTCCGAATCGCCGCCCTCAGCCGCAGACACACTGGGAGCCCCGGTGGCAGCGGGAACAGTCGTGGTCTCGGCAGACGACTGTGTGGCGTAATCAGCAGCGGAGGTCGCAACAGTGTTGGTCTGAGCTGGCTGGGGAACAGCAGTTGTCTCAGCGGGGACGGGAACGGTTGGCGTCGCGGTATTGGCGGCCTGGACCGAGACCAGAGTGCCTTCGACCTTGGAGGCTGTGGCTTGCGAGACGGCGGCGGACGAAGCAGCGCTGACGCCGTACTGGTAGACCTTGATGGAGTTGATCTCCCAGTAAGCCTCCTTGAAAGCCGCGGGGTTCTGAGCGACGTAGTTGACACAGCTCTGCATGGGGCTGCTGGGATCGCTCATGGGGCAGGTGGATTCGGCAAAAACATTACCGGCCCAGTCACCGCAAAAGGTTGTGTCAATGATAAACTTTTGTGCCTTGAAGCGCTCCGCAAAGTCGCAGGAGCCCTGCAGATGCGCCATAGGGGTTCCGAACGAGGAGGTATCGGGGTTGCCGCTGGAGAGAGAAGCCGGAATCTGGCTGCGAGGGAAGAACCAGATCTTGATAAAGGTGTCAGTCCACTCCATGGCATACACACCACCACCCGCCTCATTGAAAGGATCGCCAGAGCTGCCATTGGTTCCCTTGACTACACATCCGACCGTGCCGGAAGCCTCGCCACACTCAGAGGAAGAGAGAGTGCCAGTCATGTCGTTGCTGCCCGAGACATCGCAGGAGCCGCTGGTGTGAAGGACGATTTTGTTTGCCTTCTGCAAGTTGACACCCTCAATGATATCAATCTCACCGTCGTTGGGCCAGTCCTTACCGACGGACCAGAAGGCGGGCCATGTGCCGCAAATACTGCCAGGCATGTGCTCGATATCGATGACATACAGTCCCTCCGTGTAGTAATTTTTCGTTTCGATCCGTACCGACTCACGGCCGGGGCCGTTGGGGTTCAGGGTGCTCTCGTAGTCGACACCCATATAAAAGCTGCCGCTCTGAGTGACTTTGACCAACCCGGATTGTTCAGCGAAGCTCTGATTGACGTATGTCACATAGCCGTTAGTAGGGTCAGCTCTGTCGAAGAAATTCCAGTCATTGATGAAGCTTTCGCCCTGCCAGGACTCTGCAAGCTGATACGTCTGCGATTGACGAGCCTCCAGGGCTGTTGCTGAGACCAAGGACGAAGCAATGAGAGATCCTACGCTCAAGAAGAGCGACGACGGGGCCATGTTGCGCTGTCGAATAATCAACAAGGCTTTTAAGGAACGATGGTCGCTTGGAGTCCGAGATGTCGAGACGAGCGATGGAGAAGATCTAGGAACGCAGCCGAAAAAGATTCCAGCTGATCGCTACTCAGGCGAAGAATAGAAGACAGAATTGATTGCAAAGAATGGATATGACACCGTCCAGGGTGTAGTCTAGCAATAGCTGGTAAGAAAGGAAGGTGGGCAGAATCGATCTGCGATGATGAATTGAAGAATGAGAGAACGTAAAGGCCTGAGATCGGCCAGCTTAAAAGAAGGAATAACAAAAGGAAATGTTTCAAGATGAAGAAAGGTCAAGTATGTGAGACCATGGCAACAAAGGCAACGGGAGATGCCAGTAATATAGCAACGAGGGCAAGAATGCTCGACCCATTTAGCCGCGCCTGGCCTGTGCTTGCCATTGCCTGCAAAAATAATGCCAATATTATTATTGTCACCATGGTCAATGAGTTGGCGCCCCGTTATTGCCATAGTCTAATAGTCCCAAGGCGCCATTGACATGTCAATACAGGCTCGGGATTGGAGGGTCCCATCTGCTAGTTTGTTGTCGAGACCAGGCCCAGAAGGCCGAGATGAACCGTCATGAAATCACTCACTTGAGGAGAGGGGCATAAGGTACTCTCTCCGTAAAGGGTGACGAATGCCGGCTGCTCAGTATGGCATTCCTCAAAACTCGAGATTTTTCATTTTATCCAATCTTCTAGAGTATGCAGAAGTGGGCGGCGACAAGGGACGGCATTGGTGTGGTGAATATGTGGTCAGCAAATCTGAAACAGTTGCAGCCTCCAATAAGCATGCAGAAGTAGGTAGTTGAAACAGGGGAGGGCCTTCTTTTGTCCACAGAAAAGGACGGCTGTTTCGCAGTGTTGTGGTGAAACAATAAAGACGAATAATAGCGGCTCGCAATTGTCAATCCGTATTGTCCTTTTCCTTCATGATTCAAGTCTGCACTGATTGCCTTTGTCCATAACATTGAGTATGCTTTCGACTTTTCTCATGCATGGTGGTACAGAGAGAGACAATAATATGACCACAGTCCACATTCTGGACATCTCAGCATGACTCGTGGGTCCTGGGAGGAAGGCGAGATGCTCACTGTCGGGCAGACAACTTTGCCGACATTGCCATGAATCAACAATTGAGACACCTGGCAAGTGGCAATTGAGAATACTTCTTACCGGGAGTCAGGAAACGGACATACAACCAATCAGTGACTTGTTCGACACGCTGAGTCTAGACTCTTTAGTGGAGCGACCGACCGTGACGCCGTCGGTCTTGGGTGGATATAACGCGAAGCCGGCCATCTCACCTGGGGGACGACATGTGAAAGAGGCCGGCAATTGGCATTTTTGCTCAATAAGAAGGCGGCAGTGAAAATTGATGAATCTCGAGAGTCAAATTCCTGTGGATGGATTAAGGAAAGACTATCCAATGAGGTGTTCATGATTCGCGCAATGGTAAGACGAGCGACGATCTCATCAAACTGAGGAATTTGGGTGATGATAGTAAACATCACGTGATACCGCTCGACTTGAAGCGACAATCAGCCACAGTAACTATACAGCCACAAGTGACAACAGTTGAGTGGAAGAACTAACCAGAGAAAAGTCCTGTCTTGAGAGGAAGCTAGTATCCTGACAGTATACTACATAATTAAGTATCATGTTCAATCATTAGCCTTCCTTGAAATAATTTTGCAGTACAGTGGATCTCTTTAGTCATATGTTGACCTCCCACCGGACATATATCCATTCTGATACTCATGAACATTAAATTTATTGACAAAACAGCCATGTAGATAACGTTAATCTCAAGTTTGTGAATCTTTGTAAAACCCAGCTCTCTATTACGGTAGCAAAAATCTGGCACATATTCTGTGCCATACCACAATGTTCTTGGACCTTCGTGGATGGTTATGCCAGATCATGGCAGCCATCTAGATGCTTTTTGCAGCACCCTGACTAGATATTGGGCTGGAAAGGCAGTTCCACCATCCAGTCCTTATGAACACATAGCTACATGAAGGGCTTCTTCCACATCCTTACGACGGAAACCCGGCGTCCGGCCAAGGCAGACGCCCGTCTTTAACAACTCTAATGTTCGTCAGTGGTATGAAAACACGAAGGGGAGGAACAGATGCTGACCTTGGATTAAACGTGCCGCGTTCACTATGTTTCGCTTATCACTGGAGTTGTTCGTATCACCCACGACAAATGCAACTCCTTTTTCCAGGAGAAACCCCTCTAGATCTTGTATATCAAACCACTCACCATCAAGCTCATGCTGGACCTCCTGCGGTAGCTCTGACGTGGGATCTTGGATGTTCTCCCACCGCGGCAGAGTTTCGTTTGAGCTTGCCTTTGTCTTGCGAGGATAGTGGGTACCGGCGCCACCGATTTTGAAGTAAGGTATCTCTTTCCACTCATCCAGGCGCTGCCGACTGGCTTTTGCATGCAAGCAGGCTTCAAAGTAAGAGGTTACGCGTTTCCTATCCATCAAGCGAAGGAGAAATCGAAATGGTCTCTGTAACATGTCCATGCCAACAGCGGTATCGCTGAGAGCTGAGTAGCCTTCATAGAGACACGCAAAATGAAGCCGTTCGATAAAGGCGCTCAGATCCAGGGAAGGTGCCTCGTGGGGATACTTATCTTCTGCTGTTCCCCTGAAGCCGGTAGCTTGTAGCGTCCGCGAATCTTCGCTTTCAGTAGATTCTCTAGAAGGAGGCGACGTTGCGAGAGAAGTTTGCCTGCGCTGAGACTCTTTTTCCTCTGAATACGAGTGGCTTTCCTCGCTGTGGGATGACATGTTTGTAGCGATATTTTGATCTCCTGTCATATTGGCAGCTTTCGCCAAAGATAGACAAAGCTGTACAGTGTCCCGTAAACGGAGGGTCAACCGAGGATGGGAGGCCAGGACCTCGGATTGGATCAGCTCATCGCTAAATGACAAAAAAGCTGCGCTGATCTGCTCCACTGCACTCTCAAGCTTAAGAACGCGGCTTTGGAGGGAAGAAACGCTGGCTTCCTTGCGGGAACGATAGGCCCGTTGTGCTAGTCGAATTTGCATTCGACGTCGCTGCCCGGTCAGCTTGTTAAGCAGAATGCTAACTAGAGCAAGCTAAGAGGAGTGTTGACGCACCTCATGAGGATCTTCTCCTTCGCCAGCTGTCTTGCGAGGTCGCCCTCGTTTTCTTGAGAGCGAGCCATCCGTGGGATCGATATCTGTTCTGGTTCGTTTCGAGGACTTATGGTTGGACGCTTCGGGCTGCTGATCCCCACCAGACGGATCTTCCAGATAAAAGCCGCCGTAAAGTTGCGTTTGAGGGTGAGGTGTCGCTGTTTGTGGACTAATAGAGCGTTCTGGGAGTAAGTATGAGGATGCAGACAGAAGCGAAGTGATTTTGTTGGCACCCAGGAGATCCGGTACAGCTGATCGACAGCGGCTGGACAGCACTAGATTCTGATGAACCTCCTCCCAGGTCAGTAAGGGAAACTCTTGCTCAGACATCGTAGATTTGTTTGGGTTCGTCTTCTTTGGTCGAGATATGAGCTACAGAGCTACGGAATGAGCTCAATAGAACTGTGGTGAAAGTCAGTCATGCAATGCAGGTATCTGCTGGAAGGTGGTCAATATGTTTTATTCTTTTTAGTGCCATGATAAAGTCTTGACAACATCATCAGCTGGATGCTCCCCCATCAGGAAGTGGCTTGATTGGTTTGTCGTCGTATGGGCCTCGGCCCGATCACTAATCACAAAGAGACCAAGGGCTTTCCCCTTTACGAGTGATGATCTCCTGTCAACATGTCATTCATCAATAATGGGCTTTAATTTAAACCAATTGAATTGACGTCTTTGATTGTTGAGCTTTCCACAGCGATGTCTGGGATCTCCTCAGATGAATAGTCGAATGTAGCATCAATCTAGATCCGTGCGCCCCAGACCGAGTCACATGGAGCATTTCTTGCCATCAGGTCATATGGAAGGAATCCCAGCAAACCCTGTGGTGATATGATCCTTCCGGAAGGTTGTTGACTGGTTCAAGCATCCAGTGATTCCAGTCTCTACGAGAGAAGAAGAGCATGAGCAAGGTGGGGCACCACGACGCTAAGAGCCTAAGACGGCAAACTGATCATCATCGCATGCATGCAGACGTTTATCGACCTCGCATCTCAAGGCTAAACACGACCTACTCTGGTTATCATCAATATGGTCATTGTAGCTGTCGCCGGTGGCACTGGGGGAGTTGGTAAAACGATTGTCGAGACCTTGGTGGGGAATTCCGAGCACCAAGTCATTGTGTTGACTCGCAGCGTAAGTCCCCGCGGCAACGTATTATCGATGGGTTGGCCATAGTCTTATCGTTTGATCCAGGAACCCAAATCAGATTTTGCTTTGGGTAGAACTCGACAAGTGCAGGTAGACTATGATGATATTCCCTCTCTTGTCCAAGTTCTGGAGCAGCATGCTATCCATACCATCATATCCGCAATTGGGATCTTCGATGCCACGACCAGTCAATCTCAGTTAAACCTCATCCAGGCTGCGGAGAAATCCAGCGTCACGAAGAGGTTCATTCCTAGCGAATACTCTTTTATTCAAACCAAAGAGTATTTCCCCTCTTACTGATGTACTGTTGCTGTTGTCGTTTCTAATCTAATTCGACGTACTAGTCTGCTCCCCGTTGACCCCAGTATCCAACATTGGCTCGATGCCGCTGAGCTCCTCCAGAAAAGTCACCTTCAGTACACGCGGGTTATTCCCGGCTTCTTCATGGACTACTGGGGCATGCCTGTGGTGCGCACGAATCTCACACCCTACACCTTTGGCATCAACATCCAACACTGCCAGGCTGCCATCCCGGGCGACGGAAATGACGTGATCTGCATGACCTATACATACGATATGGCAGCATTTCTGATCAGATTATTGGATGTTGCGGACTGGCCTGAATTCAGCATTATTGT